GATTTTAATAGATTTTTGGGGATTCCAAAGGATATTTGGGAATTTTAAAGGAAATATTTTTCAGAAATGTCAATGGGTTTAAAATAACCTATAAATCGAGATTTGATAAAAACATATGGCAACGCTGCTCATGATACAACAAACGTCAAAAAATTGAAATATCAAAGTAGGCCTTGGTTTTTTTTGACAGTCGATATAAAATGGCGTCTTTTTGTTGCAAATATTACGATCCGAAAAGCTGAAGTATTAAAATCAGTTAACAATGAACGGGTTCGTATAATTCCGGCCCTTTGGGCTCGTATAACTCTGGCCCTTCGGGTTCGCATGATTCCGGCCCTTCGGACTCGTATAACCTCGGCCCTTTGAGCTCATAATTGAGATAACTTCAGCCTTCCAGAATCGAGATTCGAAAAAAAAACATATGGCAACACTGCTTATAATACAACAAACGTCAAAAAATTGGCCCTGTTTGGCTACTTTTTACGTATTCGCCGAGGCTAAATCTATATGCCCATGTAGGTTTTTTTTAATTTTGACTGTCAATGTCAAAAAATTTTACCTTTTCTTTTTTTCAAAAAACAAATGTCAGAAAACGATCCTCAGACTCCGAAAACCTTAAAATAAGAAGTTTCATCGATATGTCAAAAACCAACCGCCTGGCAACGCCGAACGTCTTTTTTAACATATGTTAAAAAAAAAAAAATTGGTACTTCCTACGTATTCGCCGAGGCTAAATCTATAATCCCATTAAAATTTTGACAGCTGTTAATCTCAAAAAAAAAAATTCTTTTGTTTTTTCCAAAAAACATAAGTCCTTTTTTAGTGGGTTTTAGGGTGAGATTTATGTAACAACATGTAGCAACAGTTGGTATAAAAAATTCAATTTCCCGTCGGGTTGGGAATTCGAATTTTTGAATTTTCCCGGCTCCTGATTGGTTTGGGAATTCGAATTTTGTTTATTCCCGGCTCTTGATTGGCTTTAAAATAATCTATAATTTCGGCCTTTCGAGCTCGAGATTTGAAAGAAAAACATATGGCAACACTGCTCATGATACAACAAACGTCAAAAAATTTAAATTTCAAACCTTGCGTTTTTTTGACAATCGATACAAAATGACGTCTTTTTGTTTCAAAGATTACGGCCCGAAGGGCCGGAGTATGAAAAATCAGTTAACAATGAACGGGTTCGTTCGGATAAAACTTTTGTCGCACGACACTTTGGTAATATCGACAAATGTCATCTGTCAAATTTGACACATGTTCGACTTTTTCTCCGCTCTACTATAAAAGCTACGAAAATCACACCCCGGTACAAGGCAGTTTCGCGACGCTATCGATTTGTGTCAAAAAAAATTGACAGCTGTCAACGTCAAAAAAGTTTTTTTTTATTTTGCGAATTTCGAGAAAAAAAGTGATAGAAAACGATCCCCGGACCCCAAAAACCTTAAATAAAAATTCCAAAAAAAAAAACAACGAAAATGACATTCCAAAACCTACTTGATAAAACTAAAGTTTTTCTCACTTACTCCGTTAAAACACTGGAAATTTTTGGTGGAAAATGAAGAAAACTCAAAGTCTCGTACTTTAAATCGGTTTTTCCGACCAGAAAAGCCCTGGAAAAGCGGACAAATTCAAATAAAAACCTTTAAAAATGACATTCCAAAGCCTACTTAATGAAATTTGAGTTTTTGTGACTTACCCCATTGGAAAACTGGGAATTTTTAGCACAAAATGTAGGAAATTCAAAGCTTCGTATTTCAAATCGGTTTTCTTGACTGAAAACGGCTTGGAAAAGCGGAAAATTCGAGGAAAAACTGGATAGAAATGTGAATACGTCAATTAAAAATTGCCGACTGTCAAAACTGGCAAATGACATTTATTACAAAACCTATTTGAAGTTGGTACAAACGGTGTTGCCGCATCAAAACTTTTAAAAAAACCATTTTAAATGGGATTTTGTTATTTATGTCATTTTAAAACTGGACATTTTTGCTAGAAAATGGAGAAAACTCAAAGCCTCGTATGTGAAATTGCCTTTTTCCATTGAAAAGCCTTGGAAAAGTGAAAAATTCGAGGAAAAACTGGCAAAAAATTACAAGGCGCCACTTCAAAATGGCCAACTAAAAGCAACGTTGCCCCATCTCATTTCGGAAAACATAAATAACATTTTAAAAGGGTTTTTTGTTTAAAATTCAATTTAATAATTAATTAATAATGATTATAATAATTAAAATTCCCCAAATGAATCATAGGAAACTTGTTTTTAGTTTAATTTTAATGAAAATGATATTACAAGGTTTCCTTATTGATTATAGTGAGTAAGACAAAGACAATGATAAAGTAGTATATGTATGTTTGCAAAAACCACCGTTTTCTGAAAAAAGTAAAAATCTTAAGAAAACCAACATTCCAAAGCCAATTTGATAAAACTAAAGTTTTTGAATACTCCCGACTCTTTGATCGGATGCTAAAGATCGCATTTTAAATACTCCCGGTTTTTAATTGGCTCTAAATTATCCACTGACCAATAGAATTATAGACTGAGCCCCGTGATTAAAATAACTGTAGCCCTTCGGGCTTGTATTACTCCGGCCCTTCGGGCTCGCATATAACTCCGGCCCTTCGGGCTCGCATATAACTCCGGCCCTTCGGGCTCGCATATAACTCCGGCCCTTCGGGCTCGCATATAACTCCGGCCCTTCGGGCTCGCATATAACTCCGGCCCTTCGGGCTCGCATATAACTCCGGCCCTTCGGGCTCGCATATAACTCCGGCCCTTCGGGCTCGCATATAACTCCGGCCCTTCGGGCTCGCATATAACTCCGGCCCTTCGGGCTCGCATATAACTCCGGCCCTTCGGGCTCGCATATAACTCCGGCCCTTCGGGCTCGCATATAACTCCGGCCCTTCGGGCTCGCATATAACTCCGGCCCTTCGGGCTCGCATATAACTCCGGCCCTTCGGGCTCGCATATAACTCCGGCCCTTCGGGCTCGCATATAACTCCGGCCCTTCGGGCTCGCATATAACTCCGGCCCTTCGGGCTCGCATATAACTCCGGCCCTTCGGGCTCGCATATAACTCCGGCCCTTCGGGCTCGCATATAACTCCGGCCCTTCGGGCTCGCATATAACTCCGGCCCTTCGGGCCGGTATTACTGAGTATTTCAGAAAATTGAGATTGAATTTTCAATTTTTTGGGGGAGGTTTAGCCCAATGACCTATTAACACAGATAGACAGAACAATAATAGTATATTATATACCTAGGTAGAGAAGTTGGTCCTTATATACCGAGCGCTTTTATAAACCGAGGCGCTCGCGCCGAGGTTTCTAATGAGTGAGGTATGTAATGACTTTCTCTACCGAGGAATATATAGAATTTTTTTTACTACTGCTAGTAGAAAATGAAAAATTTGTTTAAAATCTGTGCTCCAATTATTTTTTTTTGAACGCCCTCTTGAAAGTGCTGCCCTCTATCAACAGCTTATGATAACTTCCTATGTACCTTCAGAAACCTGTATTTTTTTTCAAATTGACGTATGGAAATGAAATTGAACCAATAGAAACATGACAATATCCTTGTGTCATGACGTCATTTTCATTATTAACCTAGGTATTTTTTCATTATTTTCATTATTAACCTAGGGAGAGAAATTCAATTTTTTCTTAGAAAAATAGATTGAATAATGTCTATTTCTCAGGTTAGTAGTAAAAAAACAATAATATCGGTTGACTACATGCCAGGAACCGCATCTCTCCCCACTACTTATTAATCCTTGTGTTATTTTGTATCTTTCTTTAACACGTGGAAAGCGATTATTTTTCAATGAAAATTAGCAACCCTGCAAACAAATAAATCCCACCTCAAATTCCACCTTTCCACCAATCAGCGGCTTCTATTCAATTGTCATGTCAAAATGCGACCTGCAGGTATTTTATGACAATTTCCATTTGTCAATCAGTGCGCAGTGACTGTATCCGCATCTTTTTCTAAAATTATGTAAAATATAAGGATAAAGATACACTTTTGTAGCACTGATTCTGGTTTCATTTTCAGAGTTGCCAAGTATGCGATAGTAAAATGGGGGCGGAGTTAGCGGAATCATTTGAATCCCTACTCCAAGCCGCTCTCACAGCTCACCCCCCCTGGCCCATAAACATGTAGTCAACCAAAACAAAGCTATTTTATCAATGGGATGTTCTGTCTATCTGTGTTAATAGGTCATTGGTTTAGCCTCCCCTGCCTCTTCTGACGAGTCGCCACTGACCAAAATGCATATTCATTTTTCGGTTAGGTATTCAAAAGTTAGGTTAGAATGCCGCCATATTGAATTTAAAAAAGTGCCTTCTCACGCCGCCATCCTAAAAACAAATTCCACTTATCATATGTCATTGAAAAGGGAATTTTAAGCTCTATCCAACTGCGTAAAAAAAATATACAGGGTTCCATAAAAATTTCCTGACTTGGGTCCATTTCCAAAGTAACCGCAAGTGATATATAATTGTTTATTTTATGAAAAGTGTGCATCTCAATGACTTACCCGTTTCATCCGATTTTCGAATTTTTAAATTTAAAGACAACTGAATGACGCTTTGTATAACGATTTCGTTGTCACCCACCCGGTATATACATAAGACTCGACTAGAGATTCCACTTTTTACAGTAAATAGCATCCAGTACAAATCCTTCAATTGTATACGTATTGATTTTTAAGACAGTTGATAGACATGCCTAATTTTTTTGATACGTTTTTCGAAAGGCAATTATTCAAGTAATATTTCTTCTATAATAACTATTTTGTGGCGCGTATAATTTGTGAAATAGTTGCCAAAACACTCTGGCTTGGAAATAAATCCTAAAGGTAAATAATGGTCGGCCGCAATATGGGCGGAAGATTTATTACATGAGGCCAGAACGTGCTCGAAGTAGCTTTTTGTCGAAATGCGAGTAAAAACTTGATGCAATGTTTGCGTCTGGCCAAAGTAAAATCTAATACTTACCACCATCTGATAAATGGCGTCCACTATGTTGTACATTTCGTCCCTTGTAATGAAACCGTCGTTATCTACGTCGTATAATCTGAAGGCCCCTGGAACGTAAAACGGAAATTTAATGCTCAGTGCACACAACAACTTTGGGGTTTCTCTAATATGGACTTTATCGTCCCTATTTCGAAAAGATTAGGTTAGACCATTGTTCAATAGTTTCTTACAGAATACGTTAAAACATTAAGCACCCAAATTAGAAAGAATAAAACTTCACAGTGATAAAGTTATCTATAGTTTGATTAAGAAGTGATCACAGCACCAATTATTTTCTTGAGAACAGTAACTTATTTGATCTTTCGAAAAATACAGAAAAGCCAGTTACAAATTGTTAGGAAGGGGATTTCAAGCAAAACCCAAACTCAGCAACTACCAAAAAAGAAAATAATAGCCAAAGTTCAATCTCAAATTTTCCTTAAACAATGGAATCATATACAATAGTTTGGGTTGTTTTTGTCATCAACTTTAAGAGAAAAAAATCTATTGTCCTTTCTGCGGTGAATTGTTTATGTCTTAGTTTTGTATGATATAGCTATAAGTTGTTTAAATAAATAATATAGTACATGGTTAATTTAAGTAAAATTATTATAAAATGTGGATCCATCCATTAAATATTATGAATGACATGAAGCAAATATGACCAAAAGAGTCTAACATAGGTATTATCTATTTATTCAAATGTCGACTTTGAAAGCAATTTGATGAATTGTTTTTGATTTATGAATCAACTTTAATTTGATTCAGGCCTGATATGTGATATGCCCCACAAAAACACATAAATTATATGATGTAGATGGCTTTAGATAATAATAATGGATGCAATTTGTTTGATGGAAACGTTTGAATTAATGAAATATTTAATTTTGGTCAAAAATTAGTAGATAAAAATGTCAGAGGCAATCACTTTGAGTACAAAAAACATAGAACAACATCCTCTTTATAATTGGCTTATATATCTGCAAAAATAATTGTGAAAAATATACTGCGACCACTACTATAAATAGTATGTTGTTTCTTATGCCATGTGGTACATTGAAACTAACGAAAGATAAAAGCTGAGGTGGCTGGATGATATTATTCACCACTTTAAACATAGAATATTTGAGAAATTTGGGTTTAAGTTTGCACGTTTAGGAGTTTTAAAACGTCATCATAAATAGAGTCATAATAATTAATATAGTTTGTACGCATCAAATTTCAAGAATCTTCCGTTGCATCCTTTCCAACTGGTATTTATGTTTTTCGTGAAAGAGGGACCAAACAGGACTTGCAACTTGCATACTCCAGGATTTGGCGAACTATAGCTGAGTGAGCATTACTTAAGGTGTAAGACCAAATTATGGTCTATGGACTGGTAATACTGTAATAGTTGAGAATGTGTATTTTTCTACGAGCGTGCGGGAAACAATTTGCTGTACGGGAAGACTTTCTTCCTGCACCAGTGCGGGAAGAGATTTCTTCCCGCATTCAGTGCGGGAAGAGTTTGAAATAATCATTGTGACATGGAATTGTCTGTATTGTTGATACACCTATACCTTAACCTTTAATAGCTATGGCACCTAAATTATATAGTCATGTAGTTAAGTAATGTGCGACAAGTGAGTGAACCTTGGTAACGTATGAAGTAGCAGAGGGGAAGACGAAAACCTATACTATACGACGCGACGGGTCTCCGACGTGTTGCATTATTGCGAAAATTGCGTTTACCCTGACGCGACGACCCGCGTATATGTATATTTAATCTCGGGCCAATCAGGAGGGTTATGCCCGCATTCCTTCCAGGGATGTTCCAAGGTGCACAATTGTGCATATTATGCACAATCTTCATAAAATATGCACAATTTTCTTTCACAATCCAGCCAAAACAAAATTATTTTCCTTGAGCAAACTTTTGGCAGCCTCGCCTTGGGCGTTGGTTGTGGTTACTCAACTACTCATACTACTACTACAGAATAGCCTATCTTCATAAGGCCAATGTAGAATAAAGTGACCAGATCTTGAAAGTCCAAAAGCCCTGTGCATATTTACGTATAATATGCATAAGGCTATTTTCGAAATTCTCGAATGTAGGGCTGAGAAATCTTACCTCTTTAGGACAATGTGACCATTCAATTTAGTAATATTTACCAAACTACAGTTATAAAATCAACTGGTTATAAATCGTTTTTTATGAGCCAGTAATTGCTACATTTTTGAGAAAGGGGACACTGCAGACCAAACCATTTATTTTGTGGCTCAAATCGAATTTCGAATTATTTATAAAATTATCTCATTATTCACCTGAAAAATTAACTGTTAACTGTTAATAATTACATTTACATAATCACCTAATCAAGGTATTTTACATGCGCTATGTGCTCACTAGTGCTCACTCTAGTAGCTACTACTTTTGCAACTTTTCGCAATAGAAAAGTTAGGCGTATTATCAATACGAAGATGCTCGAGAAGATTAGGCCGGTGTCCGGTGATTGATGAATAAAGTATTACCGTGAAGTCGACAACTTTTGAGTGTAGGACTGGAGAAATGTACCTCTTTATTTGTAGGACAGTGTAACCATTTAATTGTAGTAATATTTACTAAGCTACATTAAAAAAATCAACTGGTTATAAATCATTTTTTATGTAACGTATCTGCTACATGTTTGAAAAGGGAGACAGCCTAGATCAAACCATTTATTTTGTCGGACAAATGTTGTTTCATATTATTTATGAAACTATCTCAACATTCAGCTACAAAATTAACTGTTATTATTTACATTTGTATGATCACCAAATAGACATGTTTTCCACCTGCGCACTCTGTTAGCTACCTGTTTTTGGAATTTTCGCAACAGAAAATTTGGGCGTCTTATCAAATGAAGATACTCACGAAGATTTAGCCGGTTATTAATGAAAAAAGTTAAATCGTGAAATCGACAACTTTTGAGTGTAGGACTGAAAATAGCTACCTGTTTATTTGTAGGACAGTGTGACCATTTAATTGTAATAATATTTACCAACGTACACTGAAAAAATCAACTTGTTATTAATCATTTTTTATGCAACGTAATTGCTACATGTTTGAGGGGGGGGACATCGTAGACCAAACCCTTTATTTTGTCGGACAAATGTTGTTTCAAATTATTCATAAAATTATCTCAACATTTAGCTGAAAAACTAACTGTTATTAATTAAATTTTCATAGTCACCAAATCGACATGTTTTACACCTGCGCAGTATGTTAGCTACCTGTTTTCGCAATTTTCGAAGAGAAAAAAGTTGGGCGTCTCGGTGAAATGAAGCTGCATTGAAAAAACTAGCTTGTTATTAATGATTTGGAAAAAAGGTCCTCGGCCCCCGGACTATTACATTTTGACAATAAAGTTCATTGACAAAATTAAAGAAAAATATAGCTAAGACATACGTTTAAAAAACCATAGCAATCTTTGATTGTTTTTTTTTTTTGAAGACCCGATATAATAATATCTTGTTTCCACAACTGTAAAATGTCTAGTTTTGAGGTACAGGGTGATCTATTATAAATGTCACCCCCTCTAACTTTTTCATTTGACATTTTTGACAAAAGTGTCAAATACAAAAGTTTCAATAAATTATCGAAAGTTTTCAACTGAGTTGATTTTAGGCATACAGGGTGCTTCCAAAAAGTGCAGCAGTGTGAAGTTATATTTTTTTAAATGGAACACCCTGTATATTGTACGCTTATTTGTTAATCCCTTTTAACCTGATTTCAACGATATACGGTTTGATATTGTCACAATAAGCTAAACGTCCGCCAGGCTGTCAAGAATCTCTCGGTATTATCTCTTGAGTATACTAGAATCTAGTGAATTATTCTACTTAATTCGGGAAAATAATATTATCGTGTATTCTAGATTTTACAGGAATAGATTTAGGGATATATAAGAAGGCCGGCATTGGTTTGTAGTTAGTTTCAGTTCGAGTGTGATACGATTTAAATAGTGATTGTAAAGAGTTGAATTGTTGAGTTTGTTAATAAAGTAATTAGTGTCAGAGTGTTTTGTTAAGTGGAATAAATTATTGCTGTGTTAATTGGACTTTGATTTTTGGAATAAACGAAACGAACAACGAACCCAAGAATTTTGTCAGCAGGCAACCCAAAGCCGCGACATTGGTGCCAAGAAGTGGGATATAAAGGACTGCAGAGTGAAATCCAATTGCGGAAGTGTGGGGACACTAGTGTAGTGTAAAAACTAAACACTAAGTGAACACTGGGACAGTTAGTGCAGTGCAAACAGTGACAATCACAAAAAGAGACTCAACCGATCGTGTGAATTACCCCGGAAGTGACTCTATCCCCGATTTAGACTGTGATAGTGAATCTTCGAGTGAGTTCTAGAAAATTCTATTTGGAAACTAAGGGAGATATCGAATTTGTGACTTCGCCGACGCATTCGGAACATCAATCGTCATTCAGAAGAAGTTTTTCGAGGAGTTTCGGGAAAATTCTAGAACATTCTATTTGGAAACCAAGGGAGATATCGAAATTGTGACTTCACCAACGTGTTTGCTGTATCAATCGACATCTAGAAAAGAAGTTTCAAGAAAATTCCAGAACATTCTATTCTAGAATAAAGCAAGTTATCCAATTTGTGACTTCACCGGCGTGTTTGGAACTTCGAGCAAAGACCAGAAAAGATATTTGAAGAAAGTTCGAGGGAAATTCTAGAACATTCTGTATATGCCTATCACAAGACAACAAGCCAAAATGGACGAACAAAAAGTTGAAGAACTCCTGCGCAAAATGTTGGAACTTCAAGAGACCAAACGACAACAAGAAAAACAGGACGAAGAAGCTAGACGACTACAAGAAAAACAAGACGAAGAAGCCAGACGACTACAAGAAAAACAAGACGAAGAAGCTAGACGACAACAAGAACGGCAAGAAGACCTTGGAAAACTACAGAAGATATTCCAAACCATACAAGGAACTGTCGCTAACCTAGACCAGAAGATTGAAAAAGTTAAAGACG